AGTCCATAACAGCTTCGAGGCCGCGGTTCATCACGTCTGCCGCTTCATTGAGTTGGCACGGGGCGGACAGATACAGTTATCGTTTGCAGCCAGGAGCTGTGGGGGGCACAGTGGTTAGAGTGCAGTACTGCAGGCTCCTTCTGCTGCCTGCAATTTGGCAGTTCAAATCTCACCAGGCTCAAGGTTGGCTCAGCCTTCCGTCCTTCCGAGGTGGGTAAAATGGGGACCCAGATTCTTGGGGGCAAGAGGCTGACTCTGTAAACCGCTCAGAGAGGGCTGTAAAAGCACTGTGAAGCGGTGTATAAGTCTAAGGGCTGTTGCTAGTGCTATTGCCTGACTTCTCTGGGGATATGTCACCGTTGTGAAATGATCTTCCTGGGCTCCATTCCTCCTGCGTCTCCTTGGTGCTTGCCGGGAGGGTTCTCTCTTGCAACCTCAGCATAGAAGCCTGAATACGTGTCGGTGATTCTCCTGTAGATGTGTTCTCAGTTCCACGCAGCTGTTTGCAGCTTAGAATTCTGTGCCGAAAACAGCCCCGGCCGGGGGTTGCCACAAGAATTCAGATTAAGGAAAAACGACCCACGTGGGACGCTTTTTAAAGGAATTTGTGCTGCATGAGAAGCGAACGTGTAACGTCGCTCTACGAAGTTCGGTAGAAGAAGGAGGAGGAGGAGGAGAACAGGAGCAGGGAGGGGATACGACAGGTATGCCTTAATGAGCCCTTCTACTCTCACAGCCTGTTTGTCCTGACATCCAGCTGGCTCCATCTGGGACCCCCTGCAAGCTAAGGAACCAGCTGCTTCGACCGCCGCCGCCCCGCCGGCTCTCCCGGTGGCTCAGTTTAAGCAACGGATGCCCATGTACAATAGTCACTTGAACCTGACTGCTACCACCGCGGCAGCAACGGCAGCAGGGGCAGCCCCAACCGCTGAGTCCCCGGTGTCTCTTCCCGTGACCTCTCTGGCAATGCAGGGACCACCAGCCGCTCCTCAGGACGCCCCTGCCAAGAAGGGTCTCTCGCTCACAGTAAGCATCTAGTGAAGAAGCCCCCCTCCAGCCGCGCTTGGGGCTTAAGGAAGGAAGGAAGGAAGGAAGGAAGGAAGGAAGGAAGGAGAGGCACCCGGGGCTTACTTGTTTTCCCCAGAGGAAAAAGGCCAGGCCAGGCGCGTCTACCTTCTGCTTTGCGGCTCTTTGGGGCGGGGGTT